AGAAAGGGAAAGAGAGAAAGAAAGGGACACACAGAAAGAGAAAAAAGAGAGACACAAACAGAAAGAAAAGTAGGGAAGGAGAAAGCGAGAAAGCGAGAGAGAGAGAGAGACCCATTTATCAACATTTTGCAAAACGAAATCAGGTCTCTCCTGCTTGAAAAGAAGAACAGAATCTTCTAATCTTTGCAGAGGATACATTCAGGGGGAAAAAAGCAAATCTGATTGCAATTAAATCGTTCCAGATGACCACTGTATGGAAAAAAGAACTATGGAAACCTCAGGATTAGATACTCAAAATGCATTCAATCGGTGAAGCCCTTTGCATCTCTGCCAGTTTGCGGTTTTCACCCAAGGAATCTAAGGACCTGCAGGTAATGAGTTCGATGGCAAGGAAGCCACTCACTAAGCAGCAGAGTCGTTGAGCTGATACTCGGATGCTCTCTCAAAACAAGCCTGGATCCCTGGATCCTTCCACAGGCGCTTGATGATGCCAGCCAGTTCAGAAGTCATGGACCCATCCTCTGTGATCTCCGCCATGGCGTAAAGCTGCTTTTCGTCTTCCTGAAATTAAATAACTGAGCATGAATCCCTTCTTTATCGTGCTCCTAAACGTGGGGCCTGCCAGTTGGATGTTCAGAATTTCAGGTGAAGTTTAAACCCTTTTTGCAAAGAAGGTCCAGAATGATAGAGAAATATTGCAATCAATGAATGAATAACAAAATCAACAAACAATATGTACACTAAAAGGTAAAGGTTCCCCTCGCACATGCGTGCTACTCGTTTCTGCCTCTATGTGGGCAATGCTCATCTCCATTACAAAGCCGAAGAGCCAGTGCTGTCCGAAGACGTCTCCATGGTCATGTGGCCGGCAGGACTAAATGCCTTTGAAGGCGCATGGAACACTGTTTCCTTCCCACCAAAGGGGTCCCTATTTTGCTACTTGCATTTTTTACATTCTTTTGAACTGCTAGGTTGGCAGAAGCTGAGACAAGTAATGGGAGCTCACTCCATTATGTGGCGCTGAGGATTTGAACCACTGAACTACCGACCTTTCTGATCGACAAGCTCAGCGCCTTAGCCACTGAGCCACTGAGTATATCAATAGGTATACTACTGGGAATGTAATTTTAATGTTTAATGGCAAGTGCTGGATAAGGAGATTGATAGGATAATAAATATTTTAAGGGGCTTTGGGCACCTGAGAGAGATGATTCCTGTGGACTGAGCAAGGGAGACTGAAGCAGATATTAAAACTAGATTTATTTACAGGAAATACATTATATGGTGTCAGGTGTAAGGAACCAGTCCCATACGTACAGAATTCAAGCTAACCTACTTTATTATGTTCTACCTATAATACAGGAATCTCCCAGTAGCTGACATCTGGGAACCATCAGATAAGGCTCCAAGGAACTTAAGGGAGAGAGTCAGCCTGAGTCCTTTTGCAGTTGTGCAGTGACTCCAGGCTAGCTCTATGCTTGATCCCTCCTCCCTTCAGGCTGGGTTCTTTCCAACTTATTTATTTTATTTATTTATTTGTCAAGCAAGTATTAGATAACAGGTATAAGTATAAGCATGGCTTTGAATACATGAAATTGATACAAATAAAAAAGAAACAATAGGACAGGGATGGTAGGCATGTTGGTGCGCTTATGCACACCCCCTACTGAAGGGGTGAGGTCAACAGTAGAAAGTCTAAGGTTAAAGTTTTTGGGGTTTGGGGAAGAAACCACAGAGTCAGGTAGAGTATTCCAGACATTGATGACTGTGTTGCTGAAGTCGTATTTCCTGCAATCAAGTTTGGTGAGGTTTACATCTATTGTTTTTACATCTATTACATCTATTGAGTTTGTATCTATTGTTTGCTCTTGTATTGTTATGGCTGAAGCTGAAGTATTCATTGAGAGGTAGGATAGGCAAAGTCTAATGCCTATCAGGAAGTAAATCAAAGAATAGGAGTCACTTGACAGTGAGATGGCTGGCATATAAATTTAATAAATATATTAAATATAGCTACATTCCTTGGCTGTATTGCTAATGGGTCAAATATTTTGGCGGCTACTAGTATGTATATTTATTTTGAATGATTTTATTGTTTTCAGATGTTTTTTTAGTATTTTGATTGCAATATATATTTTTGAACAGCAAGCCATTAACTGAGGTAAGGGGGACATAGAAAAGGAAGAAAGGAGGGAGGGAAGAAGGAAGAAAGGAAGGAGAGGAGGAGGGAGGGAGGGAGGAAAGTGAGGAGAAGGAAGGAAGGAAGAAATGAAGGAAAGAAGAAGGGAGGAGGAGGAAGGAAGGTAGGAAGGAAGAAATGAAGGAAAAAAGAAGGAAGGAAGGAAAGGGGAAGGAAGGAAGGTAGGAAGGAAGGAAAGAAGGATGAGGGAGGGAGGAAAGTGAGGAGGACAAAGGAAGAAATGAAGGAAAAAGGAAGGGGAGGAGGAGGAAGGAAGGAAAGAAGGAAGGAAGGAAGGAAGGAAGGAAGGAAGGAAGGAAGGAAGGAAGGAAGGAAGGAAGGAAGGAAGGAGAGGAGGAGGAGGGAGGGTGAAAAGTGAGGAGGAGGAAGAAAGGAAAAATGAAGGAAAAAAGAAGGAAGAGGAGGAGGAAGGAAGGAAGGAAGGAAGGAAGGAAGGAAGGAGAGGAGGAGGAGGGAGGGAGGAAAGTGAAGAGGAGGAAGGAAGGAAAAAATGAAGGAAAGAAGGAAGGGGAGGAGGAGGAAAGAAAGAAGGAAGGAAGGAAGGAAAGGAAAGGAAAGGAAAGGAAAGGAAAGGAAAGGAAAGGAAAGGAAAGGAAAGGAAAACCTTCTTCAGTTCTAACTGAATGGTGGGGAATAGCTTGAGGAAATCTGCTTTTTCAATCAGAATCAAAGAAGCTTCTTGGATGAGAAGCAAAATATCTTCAAGGAAAAATGAAGTCTAGTTGCCTTTTGCAAAAGCACTTTTGGGACTACCTTGACTTGGACGGTTGTCCCTAAGGTGCTTTTGAGAATCCCCATAGACCACTGCAGCACCTATACTCTATTATAATGCATATCATCAGGTAGGGTGGCATTGCCTTTCTGCATGTGAGTTCCTGTCACAGGCCTCACACTCACAGTGCTTCGCGCATTCTCATATTCGATTCCCAGGGCAGACATAGCCTTTACAATCGACAGAATGGACTGCAGGGTGTTGCTGTAAACCACCAATTTGTACTCCTCGCATTCCTGATCCGTGTAGCCATGGTTATGGATGATCCTGGAAGGCATCAGAAAGAAGGCAGAATGAGAATAACAGCCAAAAACACGGGTGGAGTCCGAAAGAAATGGAGATTAGCAAGTTTGCAATCCAATCTCAAACGACGGATGCATAATTATTTTTGGAGCAACCTGTTTTCCAAAGCCGTCTAAGATAGCTATGCATAATTATGTGCGCAAGATTAGACAGCATGTTATGATCTTACAAAGCCTAGGATATCTGTTAATCTGTGGTACACTTAGCTATCCTAGAAGAGGTGGTGGAAGTTTATAATAGACTAGCTGGATACCCGTGCTTTGCTACAAAACTATGTGATCGGGCTTAGTTTTTGGGGAGGAAAATAAAGGGAAAAAAAATATTCTGCCTCTGCCTACCAGCATCCATCGGTATTCATCTGGCTAGTGTCCTGTCAGTGTGAGAGAGAATTGAGGGCTGTTTGGAAATTAAAACAGTATTTGCTGTGTGAGCAAGAAGGAGACAGCAAGGAGCCTGAGCGTGGTTTAAGTCAACTGTTCTGTACTAAACCTGCTTGGTGCTGCTGTGAAAGTAAAACTGAAACTAAAACTCCTCTGCTTGTGTTTTGCCTTTGGAAGAGATTTCTTTTCAGGTGGGGAGGGGGAGTAGAACTTCTTAGCATGAGAGCATGTTAATAATAACAACAGCAACAACAGCAACAATAATAATAATAGTAATAATAATAGTAATAATAATAGTAATAATAATAGTAATAATAGTATAGGAAATTCTAAAGCTCAGGTGGTCATTTTAAAAAATTCTTTCTTAGTGAGCCCCTAGAAGCCAAGAGGAGCATACGTGCCAAATTTCAAGTTCTGGAGATTTTGTGATGATGCGTGAGTGGTATTTTGCTTTTATATATATATAGATAAACAGATAACCTGGGATTTGCAAGGTCATAATATGCTGTCTAAACATCTAATCTATGTTTGAGAGATTAAACATAGTTAATTGTACATGCTGAAGATCTTCAGCAGCAGAAGTTCACCAACGCAAATTGTCTACATACAGATAGAAGACTGTACACGCAGAGAGAGGGATGTCAAATCCGTGTAGAGACAACATTATATATTTGAAACCAGCGTACCTCATTTTAATATGCCTGTAAACTGTCTTTGAACAGTCATTAAATAAACAGCTACCTGCATATTTAGTAGCCACCTCACCTTTCCATAACACTTTTTTTAGCAATATAAAGAAGGTACAAACTAGGTTAGAAACCTTCATCATGCAACTTGCCCAATTTCTCTTTCTACAGTAAGTACACTACTGCTTCATTTCAGCATGTTTGGTCTAATATGCTATAGGTGCAACCAATACCTAGTTGTACTATAAAACTAGTTAGTTTGCAAATTCTATATCTATTCTTGAACACCTCCTGTTGGAATTCTTCCTTGGAATGTATTTTTATGCAACAACTACAATAGTATTCAGCCAGTAGATGGCAGTGTTTACAAGTTTGGATCTATAGTATATACTCTTATGCTCTTCTGTTCTAAATAGAGTTTCCTGTTTCCTGTTACAGTTAAACAGTTGAGCAGTAACGCACATGGTGACTGTGCTCTTCGTTTGCTCTGTGGTGTTATATATAAACAGAAATTCTAATACCTCTACACCCTACGTCATCAGCAGTTATATACATTTGATAAGGTGCATGGTAGCTCATGTGATTTGGGCACTGGGTTGGAAATTAGCAAGCCTATGTTTGAGACCTGAGTGCTGCCATGGGTGGGGTGAGCTCCCATCCTTCACTCCAGCTCCTATCAGAGGCATTGCAGGAGGCCTCAACTGGCAACCCCCAAGCAATGGAAGTATCACCAGCTAATCCTTTCAACCCAGAGTACTTCTGACACAACTGCAATACAATATGCATCTGATAGTTATCCAACTTATATAAAAAAGTTAGTTTTCAGTTTTAATGCTGGTCACAGATATAATATTGGTTCATAAAGTGATCTAAATTTTGTTACCATTGCATAATTCTTTCCTTACTCTTACTACAAATCAATATATAGTCATCTTGCATCTCAATTTTCCCCTTAATACATATTTACATAGTTTCTTATTCTTTACCTAATTGCCATTCTAATTTCTTTTTATTTTTAAACCATTCATACCAGGCGTCCCAGACCATATAATATATCGAATCTTCCTTATCTTTTAATTTCAGCGTTAGCCTGTCCATCTCTATACAGTCTTAACATTTTCTTTATAACAATATGGAATAAGAAATTATATATGGAAAGATAATAAGGAAATGTAAAAGATGTCTTGATGTTGATACAATGATGTATAAAGTTTTATTTTATGTTTTTAATCTGTGAAAATCGAATAAAATATTTATTTAATTTTTTTTTTATAGATAGACCTACTTCATTTGTTTCACAATAGTGCTCTTGCCTGATTCACCAGCTCCTGCAAGAAAGAAAAATAAGTGTCTATATCAGAGGTGGTCTTCAGCATGTTCTGACCACTTCTGGAGAACCAGTAGCGGAAATTTTGAGTAGTTTGGAGAACCGGCAAATACCACCTCTGACTGGAGATTTTACAGTATCCTTCCCCTGCCACGCCCACCAAGCCACACCCATGCCCACTAAGCCACACCCATAGAACCAGTAGTAAAAAAATTTGAATCCCATCACTGGTCTATATGACATATGGACACGAACAAAATTGTCTTAAATTGAGCTATAGTTTTATTGGCTCAACAAATTTCCTCTTAGCCAGGGTTTCAAAAAGCCACTTCAAACCTTAATTTGCATTTCTTTCTTCCCTTAAGCATATCTCCAGTCAAAAAAGCCTGCTCTGCTGCTATTAAATATTTATTTATTTGTCTATCCAAACGTCTGCATGTTCTTTAGCATTTGGATTTGCATGTAAGTAATTTGCCCCTAATTTGGGCAAATGGACAACAGGAAAGCATCAATCATATGGAAAGCATCCCTTGATGTTAAAAAAAAACAACGAACGATCAAGAAAGCATCCATTTCCAACTCGGTGAATATGCAATTTATTATTATTGTTATCATTATTGTGCAATGGGTAATTTTACATAGATAGAGTGACAATTTTGTCCACAATCAGCTTTGGCACTTGGGACATGACAAACACAAAACCTGATTGAGTGCATTCTGGGTGGGGACAGAGCTGATCTTTAGTGATTTTGGTTAACAGGGTTTTTATTATAGAGCAGAAAGGCCTGCAAAACAAAATCACATACATGCAAAATATATGGAAAGTTAGAGGATTACAATATAGATAATAGAATAGAACAGAATAACAGCGTTGGAAGAAACCTTGGAAATGTTATAGTTCAATCTCCTGTTCAAGGAGGAAACCCTATAGCATTTTAGACAAATAGCTGTCCAATCTTTTCTTGAAAGCCTGCAGTGATGGAGCACCCACAACTTCTGGTGGCAAATTGTTCCACTGATTAATTTCTCTGACTGTCAGGAATTTTTTTCTTGGCTTTCTCTCCTTGATTATTTCCACCCATTGCTTCTTGTCCTGCCCTCTGGTGCTTTTTGGAAAATAGGTTGACCCAAATGTATCTGGAAAGTGAGGGAAAAATTATAGGAAGAGTAATAATTCCAAGTAATAATTCTCAGATCTTTTACTTGATCCTGCTAATGTACCACAAGTTCTCTTGTTCACCTTCCATAAAAATAAATAAAGAAGAATTAAATCTTACAGGACCAAGAAGGATATGTCATACCTATGTTTATGTTCATGCCTATACTTGTTTTCTTGTACATGTTTGACAAACGAATAAAATAAAAACAAAACAAATAAATATTCCTACAAAGAGACATCTTCAGGTTGGTTATTCTCAACCTATAAACCCTGTCACACTCCATAACAAACCAGCCAAAGAATAATTACTTTGCTGTATTGTGCATTGATGGAATTGCTGTTGGAACTGAACAATTTTATTTTTATTTATTTATTTATTTATTTTTGTCAATTGCTTACAAGATAATAGGTATAAGTAAAAACATAGTTATGAATACATACAAGCAAGCATATGTTGGTAACCACACAGAACAAATGCAATCCTGGAAAAGGGAACAGGGGAGGAGATCTAATAGGTTAAATCCATTTGGGAAACCAGACCTTCTAATCTGGCAATCTAGAAACTGCAGATCAAGAAATCTAGAAGATGCAGATCAGGGTGAAACTAAGGCTCAAGGAGTGGGGTGCAGAAAACGACAAAAGGTTTTGTCATTATGCTGGCACCACAACAGCTCTGTCCCTTTTGTGTGTCTGCTGTGACGAGGGCACTCCTCACACAGTGAGTGTGCAATGCTTGCGTTTGTCATTTGGACAAAGGTGTCCAATCTCGGTGTCCCTTCTGGAAGAATTTACTCTCTGCAATCCCAAAAGATCAGACTAGATCTAATGTAAGTCACAAGAGAGGATATTTTTGGCTAAATAATTTTTGGAGACCTTTAGCAGCTAAATGCACAGGAATGATGAAACAATAATTTAAAGCAACTGCAAACTTTCCATCACCGGAACTCTTCGAACAGAAGCTGCGTCTTCGATCTCGGAGCGATTCCACTAAATATCCTCCTTCCAATTCTGTGACTCTTAACTTTGAAATCACAGCTTTAACATACAATTATGCTGTCCCCTGCACTCCTATTTGTCTTTTTACATAACCTGCTGGCATTTTTAGAACATGAAGGGCATTCAGCTGAATCGTTCCACTCCTCTCAGGTGACAGCAGGGAAACTATGTCAAATGTTGTCATGCAATTCCATCAGAGGTGACCGGGAGGCACATCTCACGGGCTAAATTCTTTCCAGTACAGTTATATTTTTAACAGGCAAAGGCCCTATTTAACATAAGTTGATTTAATAAGCTGCAAGAGGTCTCATAAATATTGTAAAAGAAAAAGTTAAGAAAGTTCTGATATTTCTACTATTCATCTGAGGATAAATCATTAACAGAACGACAGATTTATAGAGTTGGAAGGGACTTTGGAGGTCATCTAGTCCAACCCCTGCTCAAGCAGGAGACCTTACACCATTTCTGATCAATGGCAGTCCAATCTCTTCTTGAAAGACTCCAGTGATGAAGCTCCCAAAGCTTCCAAAGGCAAGCCGATCCATTAGTTGATTGTTCTCACTGTCCTTATTTCCAGGTTGAATCTCTCCTTGATCAGTTTCCATCCATTATTCCTTGTCTGGTCTTCGGGTGCCTTGGAAAATAGCTTGACCCCTTCCTTCTCTCTGTGGCAGCCCCTCAAATATTGGAAGACTGCTCTCCTGTCTCCCCTGGTCCTTCTCTTCATCAGACTAGCCAGGCCCGGTTCCTGTAACCATTCTTCATACGTTTTAGGTCTTCTAGTCCAATCCCCAAGCAGAAGCCCCTATAATTTTCTGGACAAGTGGATGTCCAGTCTCTTTATAAACTTCCAGTATTGGAGCACCCACAATTTCTGAAAGCAGGCTGTTCTACTGATTCATTATTCTCACTGTCAAGAAATTTCTCCTTAATTCTAAGTTGCTTCTCTCCTTGATGAGTTTCCATCTACTTCTTGTCCTTCCTTCTGGTGCTTTGGACAATAGGTTGACTCTCTCTTCTTTGTTGCAGGCCCTCAAATATTGGAAGATTGCTATCATATTACCCCAGTCCTTTTTTTCCCTCTAGACTGGCCATATTCAATTTCTGCAACTGTTCTTCACATGGTTTAGTCATAGGTTTGAAAGATATAGAGATGACCCACACAGAAAGATGCAGACTTCATGCATTAACGTAATTCACTATTTATTTGTTTTTTTTTTAATTATATCTCCTGACCAAAGGAAATCTTGCTTATCAAATAATGCACACATTAGGCCGCAAGGCATGTTGCAAATTGACATTCCCAAACCTGAATTAAAAGCAAAAGAAGCAAAATTAAACCATATAAGCAAATCTCTTAGTTCAATGGCCCTGGTTCTCACACAACTTGTGTAGATTTCTGCTTTGGCAAATGTATTCTGAGATTTTAATGTGTAACTCATATCACATATGAAGAACAGTTAGAGGAACTGGGCTTGGCTAGTGTGGTAAAGAGAAGGACCAGGGGAGACATGATAGCGGTCTTCCAATATTTGAGGGGCTGCCACAGAGAGGAAGAGGGGGTCAAGCTATTTTCTAAAGCACCTGAAGGCCAGACAAGGAACAATGGATGGAAACTGAACAAGGAGAGATTCAACCTGGAAATAAGGAGAAACTTTCTGACATTGAGAACAATCAACCAATGGAACAGAAGTTGCCTTCAGAAGTTGTGGGAGCTTCATCACCTGAGACCTTCAAGAAGAGATTGGACTGCCATTTGTCAGAAATGGTGTAGGGTCTCCCACTTGGGTGAAGGGTTGGACTAGATGACCTACAAGGTCCCTTCCAACTCTGATTATCTGTTATAACTCAGCCATCAGTATTTGGGGAACCCTCTCTTTGCTCCTTGGGAAAGAAGGGGACGGCAGAGAAGGAGGTGGCTGGATGGAGTCCCTGAAGCAGTCATTGTGACCTTAATTGGACTCCAGGGGATGGTAAAGGAAAGGAAGGCCTGGAGGAACGTTGTCTATGGGGTCGCAATGGATTGGACACAAAGTTCACAACTAGCAACAACAATTCCTTGTTCAGACTTCCATCTGCCAATTGGATCGCAGCTCTCAGTTTAAAGGCAAAATCACAATCCACTGTCTGCTTTTTCCAGATTTGATCTGAGATTTACGATTTGCAACATACCTGCCAATTATTACCTTTAAAAAAAAAAAAATTCTTTCTTCAGCCCCGCTAGATTTTAAAATAAGCAGGTCAGACAGATCAGCTCTTACAAGCTGTCAGCGAATCAGTTTGAAGATCAAAATGTAAATATCTTTGCTTACCCAGCAGCAGCAACTTGACTGTCCTAGAATCTTTGATTGCATCTTCCTTAAGTCTTTTTTCAAGCTCTCGTGATCGCTTCATCGATTCTTTAGATGCAGAGCTGATTCTGCTCCCCATATGGTGGATTTTTGTGATGCAGACTTATTGTCCAAGCAATAATTGAAAAAAAAAAATGTACACTTCGGACAAAAAAATGGAGCAGGTAAATTCCAAGAAAGGTAGGAGAGCTTCTTCCAACTTCTTTAGCTTGCTTTCATTGGCTTTGGAGCCACCCCATGTCTAAGAAGGTAGGTTGGATGTCTCATGTCATCTACTCATTATCACATCAGACATGCAAATGTTGTTTTGAACATTTGCCTAAATCTTTGGAACATTTGCCTAAAAGTCAGGCAAAGCAGGAACAAACTTTGGGCATCCCATCAGGGTTTTGTTTTTTTGTTTTTTTTTGTCAACATTTCTCCAGAAGGAAAATATGTTCTGAACTAAATGAAATACTTCCAATTTCTTCAATGAATGTGGGATGATTTAGTCCAGGTCTGTCCAACTTGCAGCCCTGGATGGCTAGTAATGTGGCTCCACAAGATGGTAAAACTTTTAACATTATTATGTGCATTTATTTATGTGCATTTTAACAAACTGCATCACTGTTTGGTTGGATGGCCAACAGTGCCTGAGATAGAAAATCCCTACAGAGAGTGGTGAGGACAACGGAGAAGTTTATAGGAAGCTCACTTCCGGTTCTTCAGTATACTGCTTATAAGCACTATGTGCTTAGAGCTCAAAGCATTGTTAGAGACCCCACACACCCACTTCATGGCAGTGCCCCACACACCCACTTCACGGCAGTGGTGGTATTAACAATTTTTTACTGTGGGCGTAGCTTGGTGGGTGTGGCTTGGTGGGCATGGCTTGGTGGGCGTGGCTGGGGAAGGTTACTGCAAAATCCCTATTCCCTCCCCATCCTGCTAACCTGCTTCCCAGCTCTGTTCTCCTGTGTAGGGCAACAAAAGAAGACCCAGCCAATCAGCTGGGTCTTGGGAGGTAGAAAATACATGGGGGTGCGGCCAGTCAGAGGTGGAATTTGCCAGTTCTCTGAACTACTCAAAATTTCCGCTACTGGTTCTCCAGAACTGGTCAGAAGACCACCTCTGTTTTGAAGTAGCAGGACTAGCAGGACTACCAGATTCTGTAACAGCTTTGTTCCTTATGCCATCCATCTTGTAAACCTCGCAGAATTCTTTTTTTCCCATTCCATTCCATATTTTCTATCCTATCCTATCCTATCCTATCCTATCCTATCCTATCTATCCTATCCTATCCTATCCTATCCTATCCTATCCTATCCTATTCTATTCTATTCTATTCTATTCTATTCTATTCTATTCTATATTCCTATTCTATTCTATTCTCCATTTCCATTCTATTCCATTATTCTATTCTATTCTATTCTATTCTATTCTATTCTATTCTATTCTATTCTATTCTATTCTATTCTATTCTATTCTATTCTATTCTATTCTATGCTATGCTATGCTATCCTATCCTATCCTATCCTATCCTATCCTATCCTATCCTATATTCCTATTCTATTCTATATTCTATTCCTATTCCTATTCCTATTCTATTCTACATATATTGATTATATTACTGTCAGAACTGCCATCTCACACCTGTGCTTGCTATTGCTCAATGTCAGTCTACCATGAACTCTGGGGGGAGAGAGTAGATGGGAAGGAAAATGTTCAACATTTACCATACCTTTTGGAGACACAACTTCAAGGTCAGATGGCTAATGATAGTGTGTACCTGCATGCCAACCAGCCCACAGTTGGAGAGTGAGAGACCATTCCCAAAACCCCACATTCAAATATGATTGGACAATAGGAAACTAGCAGGGGGAAGTGCCTGGGGTGTGTGTGTTCCATGCAAATTTCAGTTCTGGCTTTGTTCTACCGCATTCCACTTGACCTTTAGTCAACTATAGCTTTTTCATTAAATGGAGTCAAGGGTCATTCTTACTTAAAGGTTCGAGTTGAGCCTGGACTGACAATTATATATTTTATATGCAACCAAGACAATTCCTCTTCACTTAATGTGGCCCAGGAAGCCATAAGGTTGGACATCCTTGAGTTAGGCATTGACTCATCTGAAAGCAGTGGAGGATGTGACCAATTGAAACCAGACATGGGCGTTGTCTGCATCGGCTTATATCCCTTTTGAATCTTGGCTCCTATTTGATCTTCTTTTGATCACTCTGACCTGGACAGATTGTTGAATTGTTTGACTGTATTATTTCACTATGAGTCTCCCGAAACTTAACTGTCCTACTAGTCCTTTGACAATCCTTTATGTGAGGTTGGGGTGATACATCTGGATGATAAGGAGGACAGAGCAAGGGGAAAGTTGCTGGTAAGGACACGTACAGTAACCCAACACCAGCACTATGGTTAATCACACTGTTGTAAATACCTTCTGTAAATACCTTCTTTATATAGAATACATATACACACAGACACATACACACATATTAAAAAAAGGCCTCCAGTGTATTTCTATGTCCATTGCCACCTTGGTTACCGAGTATACCTCCATTCCAAAAAGTAACACCTCCCCCCTTGCATTGCGACAATGTCAGTCTGCTTTAATGTTGACTTTATTTTAGTAACAAAGCTTGGATGGACTTTTTAAAAGGTTGGCCAATATTTGAGTCTCAGAGTGTGCTGCAGGATCCAATCTGGGTCGATCACCAGAGAATTCGTCTTCTGAGCTTTGGAGTCCATCCTCAGGGAACTTCTCTCTAGCAGAGTGTGTACCTTGGGCTACATATAATGTTCATTTTCATTCTTGAGAAAGTGTGATGGAAATTAAACCTGACTTGGAGATACGGAGGGGATGAAGGAACCATGAGAAATATAGAAGGGATGAAGAAACCTTGGGAGATACGGAAGGGATGAACGAATCTTTGGAGATACGGAAGGGA